TCTACCTGCTGTGCTATTGGTCTAGCCCCATGGTCTAATATTTTTAGTATGTCTTGGAGTATTCTGTAAATCATATTCAATATGGGAGAATAAAATTATGCATATGGAAAACCTTTTGGTGATCGAAGCCCAGGACATGGGAGATTGCAGTGGCCTTTGGCTGGTGAGCAGAGATCAAGACAGAGGGTGGAGGGCACAGCCTCCAAGGCGGAAGGAGGGTGGGGGAGGAAGAACTTTGCTCTGGGATCACTCCTGGCAGGACTTGGGGATATGGGATGCCTGGGATCTTACCTACATTGCAAGTGGTTCTCTACCCACTGTAGCACCACTCCAGCCCCCCCATCATCTTTCGACCTGCTGATAGCAGGAGTTTGCCATGGTTCCTGTCCTTAACCACGGATTGTTATACAGTGCTCTGCATTCGGGACAGTGGAAGGTATCTTGTAGGATAACACTCTTTTGTCCTTCCTCAGGTAGCTTAGGTTTGTCAGGTCACACCCATCTAAGGACACTGAACTTGTATTGTAAGCAATGTCCTTTCTGTGTGGACACAGGAAGACAGTTAATATTATGCTTTGTAACTTGGGAATTGATTGACTCCGAATAATATTTTGTCCTGGGCATCTGATTTCTTCACTCAGTTGCCCTTAGTTCCTAGCACCCCAAAAGCAGGGTCCCAAAGAGGGACTTAATGGACCCAGGGCAAGCAGTGAGCTACCCTGGCATTGAAATGGGCCAGGCCAAAGAGCCACGATACTCAACTATAAGTTGAGGGCATGATCATGGACAAATGCTGTCATGATCCACAAGTAAGTAACGACGAGACTAGGACCCTGCTGGAGCTAGGAAGATTAACCTGGCCTGAGGACTGTGGAATGTGTAGTGAGATGTTCTCAGGAAGAACCAAACTAAGTTTATATCTCTTACTGTGCTCATACAGAATGACATTGCTAGAAATATTAGAAGTAGATTTATTACAACTATTTAAGTAGATTACTAACTGAGGGAAGAACACACCCTTGTTGGGATCCCACCCTTGGGTGGATCTCCTAGTAATCTGAAGTAATCTCTGTCGATGAGATTTCATCCTTGAGTTAATCTCCTGGAGGAGTGGTCTTACCTCTCTTTGTTGATTCGTCAGTATTCAACCCACCTTTATGTCACTGCCTTATGTGACTGCTATGTAAACTAAGACGTAAGCTCGGAAAAGGGGTCAGAAGTGAGAGAGCTCGGGCTCCAGAGATCCAGAGTCAGAGCCAGAAGGAGAGAGCTTCCAAGACTGGGGCCCAGGAGAGAAGGAGGCAGAGAAAGACAGGAGTGAAGAGGATTGGAATAAACTACTATTGATATAGACCAGCCTGGCCCTCGTTTCTTCTTCTGTCTGCCCTTGGCCAACAGCCGTTCCGATCCAGGCCACACACAGCGGCTCAAGAGCACCGAACGCAGGCGGTGAGACAGTGCCATCCAGTGAGCCCGTGAACACACAACCTTCGGCGTGATAAGATTTTACAGTATCTGTGAAGAAAATTCCATCGTGTTCAAGCTTCTATTGTAAAAAATTGGGAATTTGCCTAGGGGTAGTTCTGGCTGTCTCTGAGCATTTCTGGGTGTGCCCCTCTAACATAGTTGTGGGTACTGGATATATATATATATAGTCCTGCAGGTAAAGTTCTTGCCTTGCCTGTGGCAGACCTGGGCTCGATCCTTGCCAGGCACCTCACCACAAGTTCAGTTCCCGGGGCCCCCAAGGGTGACGCCTGAGCACAAAAACAGGAGAAAGCCTTGAGCAGTGTGGGTGTGACCCCCAAACAACAAATAACACTTTCTAAGGGCTGGAGACAGAGAACAGGGGGTCTCCCCTTGATTCCCCTGCATAGGTCTCCTGAGCCACAGGGGTCGCTCACTCTAAGAACAAAGCCAGGGATAGCCCCTGAGTACTTCCAAGGACACCCCCAAAGTTCCCAAACAGGGGAGTGGGGGGGGGGAGCTGAACAACAAGAACAACAAGCCAATTAGAACTTATAATAATATAAAACCAAATAGTCATGAGGAATGAAAGGCTACGGCCTGGGCAATAGGTCAGTAGGTAGGGAGCCTGTCTTAATCCCAAGGACCTTAAACGGTCCCCTGAGCCTGCCACGAGTGATCCCTGAGTGCAGACCCATGAGTAAAGCATCACCAGATGTGGCCCCAAAACAAAACAAAAAAACAGAAAGATGTTAACATATAGAACTGACTAAATTGCTTTAAAAAACAAACTAACCTGATGTGTGCCTGGTACAGGCCTGGTGCCCCCAGCACGGCAGGGTGGTCTGGGGGGATCTGCAGCACTGCAGGACCTGAACTGCGGGGTTGGAACCCAGGCAGCCCTTCTGGGCACTGCTTAGGAGGATCCTTCAAAGAGATATGTGGACAAGTACCAGTAGGGAACTGCAGCTTATGCGAGAAAGCTTTTTGGTAAATTGCATAATGTCTTATAAAATCTACATAAATATATTCTAATTCAAAACCTATTACATAATCCATATGCAGTGAGGCACCAGGTAGCCTGGGTGGTGCTGAGGCCCTGGGGATGAGCCCGCGTGGCCCAGGGACCCACGTGGTGCGTATCGCGATGTGTGAGCTTTATAGGATACTGATGGATGGGGAGATGCAGATGCTTGATCACAGTATTCTACCACTTGCTCACTTTCTTACCCTTGAAAGGATGCCCAGCTTTGTTTTGTTAACCTGGAAAGACAACAGAGAACTGATATCTGGGGAGATAGGCAGGGAAAGCAATGAAAAGAAAACAACTTTGTAGGCTGGAGAGAGAGTACAGTGGGAGGACGCCTGCCTTTCAGGCGGCGGACCTGGGGTCGGTCCCCCGCACCCCATATGGTCTCCTGAGCATTGCTAGGAGTAATTACTGAATGTAGAGTCAGGAGAAACCCCTGAGCATTGCTGGGTGTGACAAAAGAGAGAGAGAGAGAGAGAGAGAGAAGAGAGAGAGAGAGAGAGAGAGAGAGAATGACTCTCTGTATTTGGAGTTCTATTCCATCAAGTAATTTGTTAACTATTCAAACCAAGGAAACTAAAACTAAAATGTAGATAAAATTCTCAATAGCACTTATCAGTGAATAATACCTGCCGCTATTATTATTTCTAACAGTCTCAACACTATTGTTATTTTTTCTTCTGAAAAATTTGAATGTGGAAAATATATACGGCTTTTGAGCTCTTTGGAAATTTGCATACCCAGATAGGTTGTGGATTTGTGGAGTTAAAACTACTTCCCAAGCTAATTAATTCTGTTGCTTGGAACTCAATGCAAATTTATCTGAGGAAAGAAAAACGTTCTTGGTAGCAAAATCTCTTATGCCATCATGTGAGTGATCATCATTAGTTACAAGGGAAAATGGGCAAAAGAATGTAGCCCAAATCAGTGTTAACTCACTTCTGAGAAAGTTTTACGTTGCCAGAATGTCTTTTGAAGTAGTGGATTAAGAACCATTGTCTTCTTTCTTCTTTCTTTCTTTCTTTCTTTCTTTCTTTCTTTCTTTCTTTCTTTCTTTCTTTCTTTCCCTCCCTTCTTCCCTCTCTTTCTTTCTTTCTCTCTTTCTTTCTTTCTTTCTTTCTTTCTTTCTTTCTTTCTTTCTTTCTTTCTTTCTTTCCTCCTTTGGCACAACCAGGGATGCTCCTTACTCCTGGCTCTGCACTCAGGAATTTCTTCTGGCAGTGCTCGAGGGGCCATATGGGATGCCATGGTACAGGGGACAGGGCAGGTGTCTTCTGTGCAGATGACCCAGGTTGGATCCTGGGTACCATATGCGAGCCCCTGAACCCCCCCCCCACCTCCACCACCAAGGATAGATCCTTGAATGCAGAACCAGGAATAAGAATTGAGTACTTACTCCTGGATGTGTCCCCCAAAACCAAAAATAAAAACCAAAGTATGTATAAAAACAACAGAAAAAAAAAACACTCCCCAAACAAAAAAACAAATTAAAAGCCTCAAAGCCCCAAAATCTGGTCACACGTGGGAAGCCAAGAGCCCTCTCATAGACCCTGGCCGTGGTTCCCATGCTAGGAACTGCTTGGGACAGACATTGGTGACAGTCTCCCAGGACTTCCTGATCTCAGCGGATACCTGATATATAGCCACACATCAGGCTGACAGCTTATCTGGCCTTATCTATAGTAACCTCCAGGGTGCATCTACTCCCTAAGACCCTTTGATATACAAATGTAAAGCTCAGGATGCACCTACTGCCACAAGACCCTTTGATGTACAAATGTCTACCTTGAATGTTAGGTAAAGCTCTTGTTGCTGACCTTACCATATATGGTTATACTGCTTCTGCTCCTGACTGAGCTGCCCGGACCCTATATAAACAGCCTGTATCCCTCAATAAAGCCTGTCCCTTTTTCTCTCTGTTTCTAAACTGTACTCTGTCTCTTGTGTCTTGTGTTCATTCGGTCGGTCCTTCCCTGCACCTACGGATCCTAGGGCCACCTCCGCGGGTCGGAGAGTGGTTTGCGGGCCCTCCGCAGTCACAGATTTAAAAAGATTTAAATTTTCTTGTCGTGTTTTTTGATCATACCCAGTGATGCTTACTCCTGGCTCTGCACTCAGGGATCACCCTTGGAGGTCTCAGGTGACCATACGGAATGCTGGGGATTGAACTCTGGTTGTCACATCCAAGGTCTTTCGACCACTGTACTATGTCTCCAGGCTGCCGGCCCGATCCCAATTTTTCTTTTAAGGGCCACACTCAGAAGTGCTCAGGGATCATTCTTGGTGGGACTCGGAGGGCAAGACTGGTATCTGAGATCGAACCTAGATCACTTGCGTGCAAGGCAAGTGCCTTCACCCACTTGTACTATCTCTGTAGCACTAGAGATTGTTTTTAATTTAATTATATTTTTAGGTCAGAAAAAGGAGCAAAACAGTGCCGTGCGTATGATGGCATCACCTGAAGCATGAGCTGCGGTGTGAGGGGCCAGAGATCCAGCTGACAATGGCCAAAAGCAAAACAAGAGGGCAGAAGCCCAGGAATGTGCTCCACATAGCCACCCAAAACACTCTGAAGTGGAAAACAGAGCAAAAACCAGTCCCCACTCATCTCAACAAGATAAATATCGTGAACGATGGAGAGGTGAACAGAATGAATAAAGCTTTTGGAGACATACAGAAGGAGCTTGCCCATTTCCCAAAAGGCCTTTCCCTGGAGCCTCTGCAGAAACCACTGATTGCTCAGCAGTGTCATGAAAATGAACCAGTTACTGTTGATGAAGCTGCAAAAGTAACGGCCAGTTGTAAAACAGCACGGACGATGCAGCAAATTCCCCCCAGGACCAATACGTGAAATGTCTCATACACATAAAAGGAGTAAAACTTGGGATCTGGCGATGTGGCTTGGGGGTATCCTAACATGGGTGAGTCCCCAGCTGGGTTCCATGGGGTTGCCACAATTGCCAAATGTGACCCTCGGAACCGCATGTGTGACCTCTGGACCCACGGTAACAGCAATAACAACCGCCAGTGAGACTTTATTCCTCAACATTCCAAAGACTCTGAGTCCTTCGCCGAGGTGGCAGCCGGCTGGACCCTCTCTGGAGGCTCTAGGGAAGGACCTAGCCCAGGCCCCTTGGCCTTTGGCTTCACTTTTTGGTTGTGTTTTGTGGCCACTCCCAGCAGTGCTACCCTGGGTGTCCTGTGCTTGGGGCTTGCTCCCGGATGCTCCACGAACCATGTGGTGCCGGGGCCCCCATGTGGCCTTCCCAGTCGAAGCACATTCCCTACTCCCCCCGCCCCCCCCCCCCCCGAGTTCTTTCCCTAGCCCCTGATTATTCTGGGGTTCCCAAGAGGTGCTCAGGAGCCCTGGGGCCACTCCAGGTTATTGAGGCTTCACTGCAAGGGCCCCAGTCCTGGGGCTGCTTGGGCCAGCAAGTGTTGGATGTCCAGTGGTGCTGGGAAACTCAGGGCTGCACCCCACAAGGCTGGGGTGCACGTGTGATGCTTGTGCTGCATGTGTCTGACCCCTGAACGGTCCTCAGTGACTGACCCGAGCTCAGCTTCTTGCTTAACTTTCTTTTTTTCCCTTTTTGGGTCACACCTGTCAATGCACAGTGACTCCTGGCTCTGCCCTCAGGAATTACTCCTGGCCATGCCGGGGACCATATGGGATGCTGGGAATAGAACCCGGGTCGGCCACGTGCAAGGCAAACGCCCTACCCACTTGTGCTATCGCTCCAGCCCCTCCTTGCTTAACTTTTTATTTTTAAACTTTAAATTTTTCATTAAAAAAATTACATGGCCACACCCAGCAGCATTCAGAGCTTAGTCCTGGCTCTGTGCTCAGGGGTCACTCCCGGCGGGACGCAGGGCAGCTCTGAGGTGCCTGGGATGGAACTCGACCAGCCGCGTGCAAGGCTGTGTCTTGCCCCGTTCTCTCTCTGGGCCCTAGACTTTTAATTTTCCCTGTCCTTTCCTTCATTGTCCATCCAGCTTTTCATTTATTCTTTATTAGCTCTTGCATTCTTTGCTTTCTCTGTTACCAGGCAAGAATCAATTAGTATGTGCCCCGCACAGGCAAGGGAGAGCTACTATTATCCCCCGGCATCTTGTGTGTACGATAAGGACAGCAGGTCCCTGAACTATTGTAATTATCACCTCAGACACTAGCCCGGGTCCACCATGGGCCTGTAAGTCAGGTGTGTGGGTTTACAAACTCCCACCCGGCAGGCTGGAGGCATCTCTAAAGGAAAGAGCTCCGTTTTCAGGTTCGGATCAGGGATAGACACCTGAAGTTTACAGAAGCAGCCACTTGGATTTGCTGTGACTTACAGACTTCGGAGAACTAGACCTGCACTTTGTTCTGCATTTGGGCCACACCCAGCCATGCTCAGGGCTTACTCCTGGCTCTTCGCTCAGGGGTCACCCCTGAGGGGACCATATGGGATGCGGGGAATCGAACCTGGGTCACTGTGATGTAGGCAGGTAGGCAGGTAGACAGGGAAAGGGCCTCGGCAACAAAACTTAGGTCAACAAAACTTGTTTCCTCCCTTCTTGGGAGGAAAATTCTAAGGCTGATCCACCCTGTGGATATGGAAAACAGAGGTCTGTTAAGACCTTCAGCAGTGGGCCCTGAGTAGGTTGGACCCTTCCCCATGAAGTTCCTCAAACCCTCAGACCTCTCCCTTAATTTGATTAAAATGTGATCCGGCCCTGAAAAAACGCCAGAACTTCCGGATCAAGAACCTATAAAAGCCACCTTGAAGAAAGGAAGGGCATGCTGCCCGAGCCCATGTACTGCTTTTGCCTACGTGGTCGAACATACGTGTCGGCCGCCGCATCTCCCCTCTTGAGGAGGTGTTTACTTTCATGCTTTCACGTCTAATGCTGGGATGTGGGATGTGTTTAGGGGATCTTTCTGTCCTTGGAGAAGTCTGTGTTCTCTCTTGAGTCTCTCTCTCTCTCTCTCTCTCTCTCTCTCTCTCTCTCTCTCTCTCTCTCTCATTTTCTTCCCCTCCACACTTTCAAAAACCCTCCAAATAAAATCTGCTTTACTTCACTGCTTGTTTACTCCTGAAATTCCTTTCTGCCCTGGGTCCTAGGTGGCAGAGGCAGATCGAGAGACAATGATCTTCTTTCTCTCCTCCCGACTCATGTGAGCCACCCGTGGGGACATCAGCTGCATGTAAGACAAGCACCTGGCCTGCTGTGAGGACACAGCTCAGTGAGTGACACAGGCATGACCCTGTGCTCCCCGTGCTCTGGGCCCTGCCCCAGCTTTCTGGGTGAGGTGCAGCTCCCAACCCTCCTGCACCCGTTCCCTCTGTGGCTGCAGATGCTCAACTGGACAGGACTCTGAGCTGGCGGCCTCTGGGCCTGAGGGCTGGTGCTTCTGCAAGTGGGCCAGGGGCCCTAGGACCGGCAGGACCAAGACGCAGGTCCCTGGAGAGCTTCGCCTGGGAGTTGGTCTTCTACTTACTGTCCTTTTTAGTTGGAATCAATCATTCCCGCCATCGACCAGGCACATCTCTTTGATTCCACTGTTCTTCCTGCATTAACATATGCCTCAGAGACCTGGGCCCTACGCAAACAGGAGGAGAACGCTATTCGGGTCTCCCAAAGAGGAATTGAAAGAGCTATGCTTGGAATATCACGTTTCACTCAAATGAGAGAACGAATCCGGAGTTCCGACATCCGTCGACGATCAAGAATCAGGGATGCTGTCTCATTTGCCAAGGTGTCGAAAATCAGATGGGCTGGTCACGTAATGAGATTTAAAGACGACCGCTGGACTAGAGCTGTTACTGATTGGATTCCACGGGATGTCAAGAGACCGCGTGGCCGCCCACCTACCAGATGGTCAGACTTCTTCCTGAAGATCATGAACGATCGGTTTGAGGCCCTTCATGTTCCCGGAGCGAACAGATGCCATTGGGCTACACTAGCACACGACAGGGACAAATGGAGACGTTACTGGCGCCCGCTCGAGCAAATCGACGACTAACGGGAAGTTAAGTGATTAAGTGATTAAGTGACCGACCAGGAAGTTTGCCACAATTCCATGGCTAAGCATGGAAGGTATGGGAAACAGAAACTGTGGACGATGTGGAAAACGCGGCCGTTTCCTCCAAACCAGCTGGGAAGCAGCTGTGGAAGGCAGAAGGAAATGTGGATTCTCAAGTGAGCAAGAAATCACCCAGGCTCGAGGAGCCTCTCCCTAAGGTTGAAAGCGAATCCTGATCCCGGAGTAACTGATGGGGAATGTTGGCCCTGGAGAAAGGAGCGGGCTGGGAATCCCCTTTCCCCTCACAGCACAGGAAGGCAGCTGCTTTGCTCAGGCAACAGGAGCTCAAAGCTGCAACAACACTCAGGAGGGAAAGAACAAGAAAGAAAGCCCCAAATGGAAAGCATGACTTTTTGTTTGTTTTGTTTTGGGACCACGCCCTGCGTTGCTCAGGACTTACCCCTGGCTCTGACCTCAGGGATCACTCCTGGCAGGTTCAGGGAACCATATGGGATGTCAGGGATCGAACCTGGGCGAACTGTGTGCAGGGCAGGCACCCCACCTGCTTCCCTATTGCTCTGCCCCCCCCACCCCCAAAGGGATACCCTTGTAAAGTGCAAGTGTTGGAGCTAACAGCTTTAGGATTTAAAATCCACGCCATAGTGAGATCCAGAGGGAGGTAAGGAAACACCTTGGCAATTAAAAGAGGATTAAGAGTAGCCAGAGGGAGAGTACAGGGGTGAATTGTATTCAAAATAAGTTGTATTCAAAATTGTAGCCTTGCTCCTGATCAACCTGGGGTTGGATCCCCAACACTGCATGTGAGTGATCCCCGTGCACATCTGAGTATGCCCTCCCACCACAGAAACAAGAACAAGAAACCATACAAAGAACCATGCCAAAATATTAGTATTAAAATAAAATAATTGAAATAAAATTGAAGACCTCCAGGACCAGCCACCACCATGCTGAGACCACTCTCCGCACACATGAAGGTACTGGCAGAGGGACAAAGCCATGCGGGTTCCGGGGCCGAGACCTCCAAGCCTACTCGGATTGGAGTCGAGCATCTTCCACCCAGATCCTCCAAATTCCAGTAGGCGGGGGGGGGGGGGGGGGGGGGGTGTCACACCCACCACCTGGCCCCCTGGCGCCGTGTAATCCCATCAGCAGCCAAGACTCAGAGACTATAAAATCCAGATCCCGCGGCCGCTCGCCATCTTATCAGAACTTGTTTTTTATGACATCTTATTATCTCATTCCTACTTTGGACAAACTTGCAGGCTATCGAATGTAGCCTGCCCACAGGGCAGAGTCTGGCAAACTCCCCGTGGCGTACCCAATATGCCAAATACCAGTAACAATGATGGGTCTCATTCTCCTAAAGAGCCGTGAATATAATCTCAGGGCTAGGATGAAAGAGACGTTACTGGGGCCTGCTCGAGGCAATTGACGAATAACAGGATGATGAAATTAAAAAAAAAATGAAATAACACACAGTGTTAGAGAAATGGAAGTTCCCATTGAAGGGTGGCTCAGACAAGCTTCAGGGAAGCTACCCAGAAAGGGGCAGGAATGGATAGATCGGTTTGAAAAACAAATGAGGGGCCGGAGCAATAATACAGTGGTTAGGGCGTTTGCCTTGCACGCGGCCAACCGGGTTCGATTCCCAGCATCCCATATGGTCCCCTGAGCACCGCCAGGAGGAATTCCTGAGTGCAGAGCCAGGAGTAACCCCTGAGCGTCACTGGGTGTGACCCAAAAACCAAAAAGAAACAAAAAAAAGCTCAGCTGTAAGGAGAAGTTGAAATCCTAATGTCTTGATTGTGAGAGTTGCTCCTATAAAG